ACCTGGAGGGGCCAGGACATCCCAAACGGGAATGATCCCCCTCTGGCATCCTGTCTGCAGCACCTGGAGGGGCCAGGACATCCCAAACGGGAATGATCCCCCTCTGGAACTGTGTCCAGAGCACTTGGGGGGGCCAGAACATCCCAGATGGGAATGATCCCCCCTCTGGAACTGTGTCCAGAGCACTTGGGGGGGCCAGAACATCCCAAAAGGAAATGATCCCCCTCTGGAACTGTTTCCAGAGCACCTGGAGGGGCCAGAACACCCCAAAAGGAAATGATCCCCCTTTGGCATCCTGTCTGCAGTGCCTGGAGGGGCCAGAACATCCCAAATGGGAATTATCCCCCCTCTGGCATCGTATCCACAGCACCTGGAGGGGCCAGAGCCCCCCAAAATAAGGAGGATTGATCTCCCCCTTTGGCATTGTGTCCAGAGCACCTGGAGAGGACAGAACATCCCAGATGGGAATGATCCCCCTCTGCCATTGTATCCACAGCACCTGGATGGACCAGAATTCCCCCAACCCCCCCCATTTGGGAATGACCTCCCCTCTGGCTCTTGTAGCAAGATGGGACGTTTTCTCCTCTTAATCCCTGTTTTATTTATTCCCCCCTTTTGTGCCGCTGCAGGGGCCGGGTACGGGAGCTACGGCTACGGAGGGAATTCCGCCACCGCCGGCTACAGTAAGTGCTTGTTGTGAGGAGTGTTGGGATAGAAGGGAAAAATCCAGGAACGTTGATGGGGGAGAGCTCAACTTCCAGCTGTGTGGTGGGAATCATTCCCCCCCTCGCTCCGGAGCCCCCAGTGCTCCTGCTGGATCCAAATCCGGGCGTTTTCCCCCTGGGAATGGCCCCAGGGGACTCTGCTCACATCCGGCTCCAGCCCTGGAGGCGACTTCGTTCCGGAGCCTCGTGTCCATGTGAGGAAATCGGGATTTGCTGCGGAAGAGGAATAAAAAACCCGCCGTGGGAAAGGGGGACGTGGGGGAGAATCGAGGAAACGAGCCCGAAATAACGGATCCCACTAAAATCCAGGTGCCTCCAGGGGCTCTGGGCAACCCAGCCATGGAACGTGGGGGCGGAGCCGGGATCCGCCGTGGGTCATCCCGGTCGTTTCACGCGGAATTCCGGGAGCAAGGCCCACAGGATTTCACTCTTGGGCAACTTCTCGACCAAATCTCTCCCGTCTGTCCGGATCTGGGGCGTCAGTTGGGTTCTGGTGGCTTTGGTTCCTCCAAAGGAAGGTTAGTTTGGGACGTGCCCCGTTTTCTGTGGAACGAGGACTCCCCAAAGTTCAGGAATCGGGCAGGGAAGGAATCACTTTGGGAGCTTGGCTGTGGAACCCTCCAAATTTCGGGAATTCGGCGGGGAAGGAATCACTTTGGGAGCTTGGCTGTGGAACCCTCCACACGTGGAATTACCCCCGGATTGACTCCGATCCCGGATGGAATCACCGCCATTCCCAGAAGATAAACCGTGGAGCTGCGGAGTCTTTGTTCCCATGGGATTCCTGCAGACCCAGGCGGGGACATCGGTGTCGTTCCTCGTCCCAGGAACGGGATTATCCCTTGTTTTGGAGCGTTCCTGGCTCGGCCTGGATGGAGTTTGGGCTTTGGAGTCGCTGCGGAGAATCGAGAGACGCGCGGGAGCGACGCGCTGGGGCCCTGGGACGGGGCTGGATGGGGTTCCTGCTGGAATCATGGGAATCCTGCTGGAATCACGGGAGTCCCACTGAAGTCATGGGGGTCCTGCTGGAATCATGGGAATCCCGCTGGAATTATGGGAATCCTGCTGGAATTATGGAATCACAAGGGTCCTGCTGGAATCATGGGGGTCCTGCTGGAATCATGGTAGTCCCACTGGAATCACGAGGGTCCTGCTGGAATCATGGGATCCCACTGGAATTATGGGAATCCTGCTGGAATCATGGGAATCCCGCTGGAATTATGGGAATCCTGCTGGAATCATGGGAATCCCACTGGAATTATGGGGGTCCTGCTGGAATCATGGGGGTCCTGCTGGAATCATGGGGGTCCCACTGGAATCACAAGGGTCCCACTGGAATCATGGGGGTCCTGCTGGAATCATGGGGGTCCCACTGGAATTATGGGAATCCCGCTGGAATTGTGGGGTCCCACTGGAATCACGAGGGTCCTGCTGGAATCACGGGGGTCCTGCTGGAATCATGGGGGTCCTGTCGGAGTCACAGGGGTCCCATTGGAGTCATGGGGGTCCCACTGGAGTCACAGGG